GTAGAGTCCAAGAACAGAGTTTAAACAGGCTTAACAGTTATAAAGGCCCCACAAATAATTTCCTCCTTGACTATAAAGCAGAAAACTAAATTTAGTTAAAACCTAATCTGTACCTCAAGGTTGTGCCAAGGATTTGATGACTCAAGTGGGGCTTAGCAGTCAGGGAAGGTGTGATGCTGCTGTTGTAATTCTCTTCATTGGAAAATGTATAAAGAGAATCTGGCTGCTTAGGGTCACAACACATGGATCCGAAAGTTCAGGATTCCTATGATAATAATACAATTTCATATTGCAGTTACTGCCTTGATCTCTCTTCCCTGGGTTGGCAAATAAAGGATAAAGTTAGTTTATACTAAAATTATCAAAAGAGCAGATCAGAGGGTACCAGAATCAGCATTCCCAAATGAGGTACCCTTGGGGTCATTAAAGCTCAGCAGAAATCAGAAGCATGGTCACTAAAGTCTAAGGAAGTGAGACTTGCCTGGCTGGGTTATAGAGATGTTCCATTTACTGCAGTCAACTTGTTTCCAAGAGTGATATCAAGGCATATGAGGCAGCCCAGTCAGTATGCCCAAACTCTCATCTTTGGTGGGACAGAAATGTCCCACAGAGTCTAAACTCCCTCTGTTAGCCACAGTGGATCTGCCTTCCTTGACTTATCTAGACCTTTTTGGGAAGTAATTATATATCCTGTCTGTACCACCTCCCATCTCTAGAGAAATTGGTTTAGTATATTCTTTGTTATGTGAAAGAATATTTTTTCCATTTTTCTTTAATTTACCTTTTTCTACTTCAAGAGATTGTTCCTTTGAAGCAATTGTTTAATTAAGCCAGTCTTTATTAAATGAATGTTTTAGAATATACAGACAGAGAATGTGCTTTTGTCAGTCTTCATACTCTTAACACAGAAGCAACTACTACTTATAGAACACCATGCTTCTCCTTTCCCTTCAAGTTATACCTGTTTTGATGTTTTCCAGCCCTGCTTAATTTATGTATTCATGATAATTTCTTGTATTTCTGAGAGAATACAGGTTAAGCTCCATGAGAAGGAAGATGCATATTTTATGACTTCCTAATAATATTATAGGTGTTTAGAAAATATTTGTCAGATGAATAATCAAAACAAAATGAGAAAAGAAGGCAAATTTTACAGCTTGGAGAGCTAGTAAAGTGTAAGAATATTATATAGTTGTCAGAAATCCTTATGGGGTCTCTGCGTTGGACAAGGGGAAAGAATGCAGAGGATGGGTCTGGAATTTAGTAATGCATGTACATGACATCATGACAATTATTTGAACAGATAATAACAGGAATATGTATCTGTTATTTGCTTTAGGGAGAAATATTAATGAAATTAAAAACACTTTGAAATTGGGTTCATATAAATTACTAATAAAAATAATTTTTTTCTGGAAGCAGTTTTAGTTTATCTGCTGTCTTTGTGTCTCTGACTACGTTTTTGGGAATCTTCAGAGTTTCTGCCCTTCCTGCCCTCTCAGAGCTTATAAAAATGGTTCAAATATTCTTTCATCTACAATTTCAGGGCACCGCAAATCCTTTATGCTCCACAAATTTCTTTCTTTCTTCTTATTCCCATTTAAATTACTTCTATTTTAGAAAAATTTATATCTTTAATTATTGCCTTCAATTTTTTCTCACTTAATATTTAACAGTTTTACATTTAAAACTTCAGTTATGAAATTTTTCATATATAAATTTGATATAAAATAAAAATCTAAAACATTTTTATATATTGTTAATGGTACATGAATCTGTAGTAAATGTTAAACATGCATCAGAAAAATAATACCAGCTACAGGATAAAGTTCATGTCCTGGGGTGATTCCCTATCCTCTCCAAATACTCTCATCTTAGCCAGTGTTGTAACAATTTAGTGTTGTATAAAAGTCAGAACAGTGTTTGTTAAAAATGCAGATTCCTGGGCTTCAACTTCAGAAATTCTGATGAGCTGGGTTGATAAATATGCACTTGAAAAAAACACTTCCATTGATTCAGCTGCAGATGATTAGAGGACCATCCTAAACCAGAAGTACCGAACATGCACAGCTGGCAGGGGGGCAGAGGAGCCTGAAGTTTAAGTGCGTGGTGAGGGCTAGCACATGATTTGGCCATCATTAGTCTGTAGGCAGAGTTCAAACGTTGGAAGTGGGTGAATATATCC